GTTGTGCTTCATGGGTGTTCCAGGCTCAGTTGGTGTAATGCTTGACGCAATGCGCTTGTTGTTGGCATTCCTTGTTGCCATATTTCCAACCTGGTTTCATAAAGACAATCAAAATTACAGGTCTTAATGGGTATGGATTTGAGTTTGCAATTTGAGAAAGTACAAAGATATAGTAGAACAAAAAAGTTGCTCACGTTCGCTGGCCCGCATTCAATTGAGGTGATTTTCCTCTGGATTGCTTCCCCAGCTATCATCACCCCCATCTGCATTAGGTTATAAGAAACAAATGCATTACAATAGTGCCATGGTGCATCGAAGCGTAAACCAATAATATTGGTTGGGAATAAAATAAAAAAATGAAGTAGCAATAAGGCATTTCGAGCAAAGGCATTACATGTAGCTTAATCTATAAATGAATTAGGATGAAGATACTCTAAATAGATAAAAAGCATCACACCTTGTGTACAACAATAGGATCTCACCTCAGCTCGCCAATGTTTGTGTAGAGCTGCCAGTATTTCCATCTTCTTGTCTGCATTCGCATTCATGTAGTCCTTAAAACCGAAGCTACCAAAGATTGTCTCGATCACTTCGGCACTCACTGTGGCGAGCACCCCCGTGCGAGAATCCTTGCCAGCTACGTACATGCATGCAACATGATGTATAATAGGGGGGAGTTTATGGTATTGCACAAAGAAGAGCAGCCTCACCATGCCACAAGTGATAAGTGTAAGTGAATTCAAAGTAGTAATACCAAGAAATCATCTACGTACCATGTGTGTCAAAGACAACCACAATCTTGGGGTTGTCGCTAGAAGTTGTTGAGAAGTGTTGCATGCTGCATTTGTACTTCTTGGCGGTGCAGTCAAAGACCACAGGAAATCCACATACAGTTGCGCTTCCGTCGGGTGAAGTGTAGGTACAGAATCGGCCGGGCATGGCGCGAACCTCCCGAATCTCCAATGTGATAGTGAAAGTCACCTCAACATTTTTTGCCCAAGCATAGTCCTCCACAGCTGTCAGACTTTTGGATTTGGTTGGGAGATGGGATTGGGATAAGGAAAGAAACCAAATTATCATCATTGATTGATGGTATATATTGCGCTACGAAAGCATCTAGTATATGCATAAACGAGCACGCATGCAACCAGGAAGTAGCCGTATGAGTATCATTTGCCAACTCTCACTTACGCTTTGACATGACCGACGTTTTGGCATGTCGGTTCATTAGGAGTATCCGCAAGCTTGATGCGGTCAGCCATCTCTGCATCTTTTACTTGGATAACTCTTGTCCTGGAAAGATGAAATAAATGACAACAAAACCAGCTACTAAAGATATATTTCCAAAAATATGTGTAGGAAAAAATATTACAGGATGTAGGATGAGGTTTAGGGATAGGAGTAAAGGTTGGCGCATAAAGAACAGAGGGATTGGATAAACTAATATTCAGAGGATTGCAGACATAAATCGAATGGAACATGGAGTATTGAATAGGCTATAAGAAATTTCCTAAAAAGAACCAAATATTTTGAAATCATACAAAGAAATACCATTTGCTATTTGAACGATTTAAAATGAAATAAGACACATGATAAAAGGAAAGAGATTAGAGAAAATGGCAGATCTTTTTCTTTAAACCACAAACCTTTGGATTGTCATGATTTGACATTCACTCATGTATAGCTCTGTTATCCACAAAACAATGGATGTCTCCGATGTAGCAGTTCTGGATGTCTGCTTCTCTCCTTTCATGATGAAAGAAATCCAGTCGCCAGTTGACCCAAGCGCCGTCAACCCAAATCGACCGCTTTGATCACGAACGAGACAGATGAGTTTTGTCAACCTGCCGACTTTTTGCTCCTTGACTATCTGAAGTTCCATGTGGAATGCAGAGACCTGCAAGTATAGGAATATAAGGAAGTAGAGAATATGGAGATTCATGTGAAACGAAAAGACTTGAAAGGTTATGAAACTTAAGAATTGGATAAAAGAATCTCCAAAGTTGTGATGCCTTAGGAAGGGACATATACTAATAAGAATACCGGTACAAAATTTACATACAAAATGCACATCTTTCGTACATACCTTCTGGGTCGCCGAAGACACCTCAGAAAGCAAGGTGGGGGAGAAGGTATTAAGAGGAATGACATTTCCAGAAGCTGTCGGACGTGCACGCGACAAATTATAGTCCCAAACGAACTCTCCGTTGAGACCTCCGATAGTGTACCTAGTATCCATATGTGTAACATGGCAAGGAGAAAATGGTCGCATACAAGCATGATGTTGATTGTTTTGACAACATATATCGGTTACTCGTACAACAAATCGCGAAACGTTGATGCTAATGTGATGTTCAATGGAACAACTTGCTTAGATACCGAAAGCTCACCTTGGGTCCTTAGGACGTTCGCATGTGATCCCTGCAAAGTCGTATGTTGTCCCCAAAACGAACGGATCCAAAATCCTAAAACACTTTTCTATGGTCCAAGGGGTGGATGTGGTTCTATTGACCCGGAATATCAGCTCCATGATCGCTCCATCAGCATCCAAAAGAAGCAACTTTGCAGGCATATAGAAACCAGTACGAGCATCGTAATCAGTGTGAGGCCGAGCGCCGACAACCATCGCTTGTATCATGAAGCTCTCAGGCTTGTGATCAATTATGGCCACAAGCTCTTCAAACTTGCAGAGTGCTATTTCCTGGAGTTGGGCAAAGAAAATGGATGAGATTTGAAGTGGATAAACAGGCAAAAGTTGAATGATACATGAAGAAATGGTGGAGTGCAAAAGATGAGCATATTTTTCTGCATTGAGATTACGATTGCAAAACAGACCACTTAGGGGATGGAATGGAGGGGGAGAAATTTCAAAACAACCAGAGGAGGGATGCGAAGAATAGGATGGGGTGGAAAGAATGGGGAAACTAAGGCAAAAATGTTGCGCAATATGTTGAACGACAATTATGGGTAGGGGTCAGCACTGGCAATAAAGAATATAGGAAGGGGGGAGTTAGGCCATGGGGGATTGGATGAGTACGAGGCAAATGGGGGAAAACTATTGGTGAGATTGGTTAAAAACACATAGGAGAGCATGCACAAAATGGAGGGGAAATTTTAGGAGAAACGGCAAACAAACAGCTCTAGATCATAACAATGTGGAAAACAACATGATTACATGACTAGAAATATTCACGCTTTTCTATATACATAACACTTACAATGGTTTGTTCAAAGTGAAAGGATCGTGAAAACCAAATGAACCATGCGTATGTTCATACCTCAGGAAAATCGTGAGAAGATGAAATGGATCCTGCAAGTCGACGCCAACAAATACGTTACTTTATTAACACGTATACGGGAAAATGATCACTAAAATATGTCTCACCAACATGCACATGAACATCAAAATGACGACGATTTGTCCACACTTGATCAATCAAGGTGTTGCGTATTGTTGTTGGAGCTTGAACGCATTGAGACAAAGAGAGAGACTTCATAAAGTTGAGAAATCGAAGCGGCATCGATTTGGAATCGTCAAAATTGAGATCGCCAATTATCATAATTTTGGCACTTGGGATCGTGGCAACGACTTGTTGCAACAAATCGTAGAAACTTGCATGAGATGATGCTGGATTACGATACACACATATGACATATGTGTTTGATAGTGCAGTATAATGCAAAACAATAATCTGAACATTGTCGCTTATCACGTGAGAGAAAACGGAAACACGAGTATCGTTATATGCAACAAGCATTCCACCAGAATCCCAATCTTGCCTGAATACCGAACAGTCTCCAAACATGGAACCATGAGAATCATGAGGCGAAAGATGTGTTTCAACCAACAAAATAAAATCGAAAGATTTCGCGAGAATTGCGTTAATCAATGCACAATCACGCCGAAACTTGCGTATGTTATGGAGATAAAACCTCCCCTCACATCGAGCTGTTGCGATTTCCTCTACTGGAATCGGAGACATACGCAGTTTAGTATCACGCAAACGGATCATTTCTCTTATTACGTCGTTGTGAATGTGAACACTGTGTTCAGAGAAATCCTCCAAAAAGAGCTTGGCGACTCTACTCAACGCAACGTATGCCATGTGATGGAAAACTTGGCGACGAAAATGAACAACGCCCGAAACAAATGTTGATCCCTGACTACGATGTATACTAATAGCAGCACTTACTCGAAGTGGGAACTGCATTCTTGAAACTTCGTTGTTCCTATGGTTGATGGAGAATCGCCGTTCGATTCGCACAATGGGAGTCAATCTTGCATCGGTGATACGCCATTCGGAAAACAAGGGAGCACTATTGCGTCGAGCTTTCTTACCAACGCGATCGTTGTCAAAGTGTACCCAAATGACAAAAACCTCACCATTTTCTTCTCGAGAGAAGCCTTTTATGACTCCAGGAGTCCCGTTTGCAAGACCGTCGACCGTATCAATGTTCAACACAACGTGAACTTGACAACCAAGATACAAATGCAAAAAATTGTACAGACCTGATGTATTCCTTGGATTCTTGGAGGCATATTTTGATGGCCCTTTACAACGAGTTGCAGATTTATCAAACAAGTGAAGATCGTGAGCCGGTATGATATGTTTCTCTTGGGTAGATATCTCAAACATTTTGGCGTTATGTGCATCAATGTCGACATTTCTAGAAAACAAATGTTGAAGGGATGCAGAGTTGTCGATATGTCTGTTCATGGATGTGAAAAAAAGGAGGTCATCTTTTGTATGTTTCCCTTCTCGCAAACGATTAAGACGTTCTGCAAATAATTGCTCGTTCTTTTGGCGCATGATCGTCACAAGTTCAACCATTTTAAACAACTCCCACACGTTATCCTTACCGATGACACTGTGAGGATTATTTTCAGCGAAGCAATATTTGTCAGCAATAGGAGGCAATTGAAAGAAGTCACCAACTAATATAACGTGCAACCCCCCAAAGGGTATATGTGCCGCCCCGCACAGCTCTCTTAATCGCCAATCTAACCAATGAAAGGTATGCTTACCGAGCATCGAAATCTCATCAACAACGACCAATTTGACATCACCAAAATTTGACCTTAACGTGTTTAATCGATCAGATGATAAGTTAGAAATTGTGCGATTTTGAGAAATCGGTATCATAAGTGCATTGTGTATCGTGTATCCACCTATGTTGAATGCTGCTACCCCCGTGGGCGCCATTTTCAACACTTTAATTGACGTAGGGTTGCAGTTTATGGATGAGTTGAATATTCTAGACAATCGTTCGGTCACAACATTGATCAACACAGACTTGCCAACACCTGCTCCACCAGTTATGAACAACCGTAACGGACTTCCTTGAAACCGAATATGGTGTACAATATGATCACATACCGCCCGTTGTTCGGGGTTTAATGACCTCTCAAGTTGCATATATTCGTAGTCGTTAATGAGCTCGTAAGAAAAAACATCGTTGGCTCGTCGTACATTTTTTTCAAGATTCAATTCATTTGCAATGTCAACACTTTCAACGTCGCTCTCTACAACCTTATTCGTTGTCTCAAAGACATTTGATTCTTCGTTATCACAGTTGGACTCGGCTGCTTTGAATGCGTCTGCCCAACAATCACTACCATTCGTATACACCGCTTCTTTCTCCATGATTGCCACTTCATTTTCCTTGAAGATTGTCGCAATAAGCCCAAAATCAGATGGCTCTTCTCGAAATGGGTGGTAAAGTAAAACCCTCTCGCGTATGTAATTTTCGAAGTCTTGGTTCATATGATAGTTAACGAATCGTATAATTTTGCCTCGCTTACGTTTATAGTAGAACTTTCTCTTACCTGATAGGTCAGGACCAATCATATGCATACTTCTCGTACCTTCAAGCTGTGATGCGATCTCGTACAGTGACACGAAATCCGCCAAACACGTGGACTCCAAGAGCACCGGTCTCTGTTTGTACCTTTCCATACACGCGTATGGTTGATAAACATCAGTACTAGTCGACTCTAGTGCTTTCAAATCTCTAATCGATTTCAGGGTTAGCAGTCGTTCGTCGCACGGAGCGGTGTTCACAAAATGAACTTGTCGGGATGATAATCGATACTTCAAACCAAGTAATAGATAGCACGCTTCTTGCGCACTGATCTCTTGAGAATTAAGCATCGCGTTTCCAAGAAAGCGCAAGAATGCTTTTATTCCGCCATTTTCTTGCCGTGCTTTAGTCAAAGCCCGTCGCATCATAAGGCTCATGCCTTTGTTTGCCTTGGTCATGTACGAAACAACATACGCTGCCACGCTGTACGGGTCAACGCATAGTTGAACATCCATATTACCGTTCCAAGCACCAAGCAAAGCTGGATTATAGTTGTTAACATAGACATCACAAACTTGCCGCTTTAGTAAAAGCGAGACCCGCTTTAGAGTCGAACGTATCGCCAAGATGTAATCATCAAACCTTAATCCAACCTCTTGAAGAAATGACGCAAACGTACAATGGTTAGATGTCGTCACATGATCAAGCCATTCTTTGACACGTTTAACATTGGTGCTTACCTCTTTGCGTTGTTGCCCCGACAAAGCATTTGAGATGGGATGCAAAACCAAAGTAGTAGGCAGCGGAAACCTTGGAAAACCAAACCTGCACTTACTAGTGCTTGCATATGCTCTTTTGCATGTTCTTGAATGTCTATGGGTTTGTAAGGATAGCAATCTTGAATCCAATCCATGGGATGATGTACTAATATGCACATCCGCGTATTTTACTATCTCGTCAACTCCTTTATGACCCAAGCACTTTGCTGACTTGCTCCAAACAACTGCATGCGTATGCGGAGCGCCTCGATGCTGAAATTCATCGAGGGCAAAATAGTCTTCCACACCACCAAGAATCTCGGATGTGTTTGTTAGTAGCTGAGAAAATACCAACCTTTTTTTGAAATCATAATAACGAGCACACGTGACAGGATCCTTCCGAACCAACGTGCTAATCGTATTGTAATCGCACGGCACGTCGACTTTGTCGGGTAAGTTGCACGGGTTTCCACGCAAAGCATTCACCTTCAGTAATATGGCGTGCAGTTCCGTCCATTTCGTGTCCGCCATGGATAGTGTCAGAAAAAACGTCGGCCTACCTATTTGTCGCAACATTGCGAAGATATCTCGCTTGCACTTATCCCTATACTGTTGTGTAGTACGAATCGTTTTAAAATCGTTATAAAGAGTATCGTTTTGCTGCAAAAATGCGCGTTTCTTTTCGTTTAGCATATCAGCGGCCGTATAAGTCCGCACATTCTGTATTTTTTCTTGTCTGACCCTTGTTGCAATCACATTTTGGACTTGTAAGATCTCCTTTTTGTACATTTTGAAAAAAATGTTCGCTATATTCGTAGCACAACGACCATTTGCATGCTTTAACTCCCATTTGACAACGTCTGAATATGACACGTTTGGGTTATGTAGCCCGTTGAATCTTCGTTGACCACAGTATATCGAAGGGAAACTTAGCTCTTCGACATCGTTGTCAAATAGAATTGATGTTGGCCTTGACAGTTCGCCTGGGGCAATTTGCACCGTGAGTTGAGATGGTTGTTGGTAGAAGGGTTCTTGCAATAAAATTGTATCCAACACCCCAACATTGTGCTTATCGATCTTATCACTTTCATTCGAATTTGTTGAAGTTGTAATGGCACCGTCGACATCTGAATCTTTGCTGTTACTCAATGATGATCCCTTGCTAGTATTTTCTAGTAATCGTACATTTGCTTCATCCAGTTGAATATTTTTCTCTACGAACAATGTCTGTTTGCACAAAAATTGCAAAGCTTTAAATACTTTTGTCGGACGCACGTTTTCTTCAAATGCACTATTTTTATATTCCATTTTACGTTTTAAACGCACTGTAACAGTGTGTGTATCATCGCACGTTCTTGGTAACGAGTTCACCATTTTATCAACCTCAACAGGAATGTTTATGACCCCACCTATAATACCGTACTGCTTTCCAACAGACAATGAGTGTATTTTCATAAAAGGTATCCGCGGACTTACTAGACGCTCTTCTAGGTTCGTCAAGCCAAGAAGCTCCTTCGGCTGGAATGGAAAGCCAATACCGTTAAGGATAGATAATGGCGGTACAGTTCCATGTTTCTTATACGTTGCACAGCTTCGACAAACACGTTCATTTAAATCCAAGCCTTGACGTGACTTGATGTGGCATCCAAAATATAAAGTGCCGCACAATGTGCACTCAACATCTGAGCCATACGTGCTTATTTTAAGAAACTTTGCAACTTCACGATTCTCACTCTTTTTGCGTGGCATCGACTCGATTGCCACACTCTTGAATTTTAGATCAAGGATTGAATTTGAGATAAAATCACCATTCTCAGCGTGCAATCCATGATTTACTTCCATTACGTAATTTGTGTGCGTGCCAATTTTATGGCATATAAAATATGAACGTGCATATGCTGCATCCATTGCATGCATAAAACCAGAGTACGTGTATCGTTTACCATTATGCCCAACTGTAAAGCGAAAACCGTGCGCGGTAGATCTTATTCCGGTGTAATGCTCATTGGCACTATTATCATGTTTTGGTATTTTATCACAAACACAAAACATGGATTTGTCGTTTGATACGGACTTTGCCAGTTGTTGTGTTTGACAACCCCGGCGTCTAAGATTTTTCTTATTCTTATTCCTAATCAGTTTTATGGTGGTTTCATCAACATGGACATCCTTCCTTTCTCGTGCTCGCTTGCCGCAATGGTGCTCTTGCCGTATTCTATCAAGCGTACCTGATGTGCTTACACCAATGCCTGTATGGCAATTGACAAAATCAGATGTGCTTGAAGCGCAATGAAGTGAAACACCCATGGGTCTGTTTCCGATAAATGAACCTGCGCTGTTATTGCTGGAGGAGGAATCTTGATGCAATGACTCATTTGGCTCGATAAAATTCTCACCTGGAACGTAGCCGGTACCATACGAAACCCCGTTTTCCGCAGGTAGTAAAAGAGAATAATGCTTATGAGCATAATCATAATGCAAATGTATCACTCCTCGAGATTCCATACCGGAAGTTGCACGAAAACAAGCGTCGTATTCTGTAGGTCTCGTCCAAATAATTGCAGAAGTGTTAAACACCACAGAAAATCCCTTCACTTCAATTATTGAACCCCATTCTGTATCACGAGAAGCGTATGCAAAGTAATCCTCTCGCGTTGCGAATTCTTTATCGTGGCCGAATCTAGCCCCGTTTGCGTAATTATACTCCTGGTTATCCCAGTTCATCGCTATGTGATGCACGATCTCTCGTCTCACACGCGCATGCTGGTTTTGTGTGCCATGTAGCCACTTGGACATAGCTCGATACAAACAATTCCCATCTCCTGTAATACTGCAAAGCTGTAGCTTATATAAATTTTTTAACTCACCGTCCACTATAGCTCCAGTAATGATAGCTCTATGGCTTGAAGATGATGAGGCCATGATGTTGACTCAGGCTGCAATGCTTGGACAGCGTGAATTGCTGAAGAGAGGCAGGTTGCTTGAGCAACGGTTGCAGACAAATGAAGTTCCTGGGATTATGGGAACGGAAAGTAAGGAAGGAAAAGGAGGAACAAGGAGCGAGAGAAGATAGGGTGGAGAACAAGGAAGAGATTTGAGAAATAGACAGGTACGAGGAGAAATGGGGGCCAAGGGAATGTGAGAAAATAGAGATGAGAGAGAGAGAGAGAGAGAGAGAGAGAGAGAGAGAGAGAGAGAGAGAGAGAGAGAGAGAGAGAGAGAGAGAGAGAGAGAGAGAGAGAGAGAGAGAGAGAGAGAGAGAGAGAGAGAGAGAGAGAGAGAGAGAGAAAGAGAGAGAGAGAGAGAGAGTGAGAGAGAGAGAGAGAGAGAGAGAGAGAGAGAGAGAGAGAGAGAGAGAGAGAGAGAGAGAGAGAGAGAGAGAGAGAGAGAGAGAGAGAGTGAGAGAGAGAGAGAGCGAGAGAGAGCGAGAGAGAGAGAGTGAGAGAGAGAGAGAGAGCGAGAGAGAGCGAGAGAGAGAGAGAGAGAGAGAGAGAAAGAGAGAGAAAGAAAGAGAGAGAGAAAAAGAGAGAGATGCTGTGCAACGCACGCCTGTATCTCACTTAATCATTCTGTCGAGGTGTTGGCTATCGCCCTGGCTTATACTACAGCTTTTAGGGTATTGCAGCCATTCCAGTAGCCATTACAACTCTTTCAGTAGTATGACCTTTGTCGTAGCCACGACAACTTTTCTCTTTTCCATGAAGAAACCATTGCTATAACCACTAAAACCTTTTGAGTGGTATAGGCCTCGCTATAGCCACTACAGCCTTTTCAGTGGTACCAGCATTGCTGTAGCCACTACAGTTTTTTTAGTCGTATAGCCCTTGCTGTAACCACTATACTTTTTCAGTGGTATAACCATTGCGGTAGATCTAGCTTTATCGACGGATTCAGCAAAAGAAAATGGTATGGCTGATGCTTGGGGGATGATTGCACATTGAGGAATGACACTCAGGACAACATTGCAGGTAAATAGTACAAAAGATTTAAATATTGTAACAAATTATTGCTCAAGTATACCTGTTTACACAGAACACTCATTGAAAAAGTGCATTCAATACTGCTTCCTAGAGTTATCATATAAACATACGTCGTGGAGAGATCGCGTTGCCTATTCGCTCACTCCTAGTGCCGATGGGTGTAGTAAATGGGAGCTTGAAGTGTGACAGCTTGAAAATGGCAACTGTAAGAAGGGTAACATAGGGAAGTAAGACGCATGACACCATACAAAGCTACAATAATGACGAATGCAGTGGATCCGTGACAGATGCTGATCGCAAAAAACGAGGACCAAACACACCAGCATTGAGATATCCATTCAGGGCGCAAAAAAAAAAACGCGAAAGCAAAGAAAGTAATAGAAGCTACATACTCAATAATGGGAAACACGTATATATAACAAGGGGCAAGGGTGCTGAATACTGGGAATCTCCTAGTTATCAAACTTCACTTGAGAACAGGGGCGATTTCCGTTTGATATTCCCTCGTTACCTCCACAGGTGTGGAGGTATGGAGGTAAAGAGGTGTGTGGAGGTATGGAGGTATAGAGGTTTGGAGGTGTGTAGGTATGGAGGTATGGAGGTATGGAGAGGTGGAGGTGTGGAGGTATGGAATGGGGGTGTGGAGGTGTGGATGTGTGGAGATACGGAGGTATGGAGGTGTGTGGAGGTATGGAGGTGTGGAGGTGTGGAGGTGTGGATGTGTGGAGATACGGAGGTATGGAGGTGTGTGGAGGTATGGAGGTGTGGAGGTGTGGAGGTATGGAGGTTTGGAGATGTGTAGGTATGGAGGTGTGGAGGCATGGAGGGGTGAAGGTGTGGAGGTATGGACTTCTGGAGGTATGGGGGTGTGGAGGTGTGCACGTATGGACGTGTGCACGTGTGGGAGTGTGGAGGTGTGGAGGTATGGAGGTATGGAGGTATGCAGGTGTGGAGGTGTGGAGGTACGGAGGTGTGGAGGTATGGAGGTGTGGAGGTGTGTGGAGGTATGGCGAGATGGAGGTATGGAGGTATGGAGGTGTGTGGAGGTATGAAGGTGTGGAGGTGTGGAGGTACGGAGGTATGGAGGTGTGTGGAGGTATGGAGGTATGGAAGTGTGGAGGTATGGACGTGTGGAGGTATGGGGATGTGGAGGTGTGGAGATGTCGAGGTATGGAGGTGTGGAGGTGTGTGGAGGTATGGACGCAAGGAGGTGTGGAGGTATGGACGTGTGGAGGTACGGGGGTGTGGAGGTGTGGAGGTGTGGAGGTATGGAGGTGTGGAGGTGTGTGGAGGTATGGAGGCATGGAGGTGTGGAGGTATGCACGTGTGGAATAAGGGGGGTGTGAAGATATGGAGGTGTGGAGGTATGGAGGTATGAAGGTGTGGAGGTGTGTGGAGGTATGGAGGAATGGAGGTGTGGAGATATGGACGTGTGGAGGTATGGGAGCGTGGAGGTGTGGTGGTGTGGAGGTATGGAGGTGCGGAGGTGTGTGGAGGTATGGAGGCATGGAGGCGTGGAGATGTGGAGGTATGGAGGTATGGAGGTGTTGAGGTGTGTGGAGGTATGGAGGCATGGAGGTGTGGAGGTATGGACGTGTGGAGGTATGGGGGTGTGGAGGTGTGGAGGTATGGAGGTGTGGAGGTGTGTGGAGGTATGGAGGTATGGAGGTGTGGAGGTATGGACGTGTGGAATAAGGGGGGTTTGAAGATGTGGAGGTGTGGAGGTATGGAGGTTTGGAGGTATGGAGGTGTGGAGGTGTGTGGAGGTATGGAGGCATGGAGGTGTGGAGGTATGAACGTGTGGAGGTATGGGAGTGTGGAGGTGTGGTGGTGTGGAGGTATGGAGGTGTGGAGGTGTATGGAGGTATGAAGGTGTGGAGGTATGCATGTGTGGAATAATGGGGGTGTGAAGTGTGGAGGTATGGAGGTATGGAGGTGTAAAAGTGTGTGGAGGTATGGAGGCATGGAGGTATGGAGGTATGGACGTGTAGAGGTATGGGGGTGTGGAGGTATGGAGGTGTGGAGGTATGGAGGTTTGGAGGTGATTGGAGGTATGGAGATATGGAGGTGTGGAAGTATGGACGTGTGCAATAATGAGGGTGTGAAGATGTGGAGGTGTGAAGATATGGAGGTATGGAGGTGTGGAGGTGTGTGGAGGTATGGAGGCATGGAGGTGTGGAGATGTGGAGGTATGGAGGTATGGAGGTGTGGATGTGTGTGGAGGTATGGAGGCATGGAGGTGTGGAGGTATGGGGGTGTGGAGGTGTGGAGGTATGGAGGTACCGAGGTATGGAGGTATCGAGGTATGGAGGTGTGGAGGTGTGTGGAGGTATGGAGGCATGGAGGTGTGGAGATGTGGAGGTATGGAGGTATGGAGGTATGGAGGTGTGGACGTGTGTGGAGGTATGGAGGCATGGAGGTGTGGAGGTATGGGGGTGTGGAGGTGTGGAGGTGTGGAGGTATGGAGGTGTGGAGGTGTGGAGGTATGGAGGTGTGGAGGTGTGTGGAGGTATGGAGGTATGGAGGTGTGGAGGTATGGACGTGTGGAATAAGGGGGGTGTGAAGATATGGAGGTGTGGAGGTATGGAGGTATGGAGGTACCAAGGTATGGAGGTATCGAGGTATGGAGGTGTGGAGGTGTGTGGAGGTATGGAGGCATGGAGGTGTGGAGATGTGGAGGTATGGAGGTATGGAGGTGTGGATGTGTGTGGAGGTATGGAGGCATGGAGGTGTGGAGGTATGGACGTGTGGAGGTATGGGGGTGTGGAGGTGTGGAGGTGTGGAGGTATGGAGGTGTGGAGGTGTGTGGAGGTATGGAGGTATGGAGGTGTGGAGGTATGGACGTGTGGAGGTATGGGAGTGTGGAGGTGTGGTGGTGCGGAGGTATGGAGGTGTGGAGGTGTGTGGAGGTATGGAGGTATGGAGGTGTGGAGGTATGCACGTTTGGAATAAGGGGGGTGTGAAGATGTGGAGGTGTGGAGGTATGGAGGTATGAAGGTATGGAGGTGTGTGGAGGTATGGAGGCATGGAGGTGTGGAGGTATGGACGTTTGAAATAAGGGGGGTGTGAAGATATGGAGGTGTGGAGGTATGGACGTGTGGAGGTATGGGAGTGTGGAGGTGTGGTGGTGCGGAGGTGTGAAGATGTGGAGGTGTGGAGGTATGGAGGTATGGAGGTATCGAGGTATGGAGGTGTGGAGGTGTGTGGAGGTATGGAGGCATGGAGGTGTGGAGATGTGGAGGTATGGAGGTATGGAGGTGTGGATGTGTGTGGCGGTATGGAGGCATGGAGGTGTGGAGGTATGGGGGTGTGGAGGTGTGGAGGTGTGGAGGTATGGAGGTGTGGAGGTGTGGAGGTATGGAGGTGTGGAGGTGTGTGGAGGTATGGAGGTATGGAGGTGTGGAGGTATGGACGTGTGGAATAAGGGGGGTGTGAAGATATGGAGGTGTGGAGGTATGGAGGTATGGAGGTACCGAGGTATGGAGGTATCGAGGTATGGAGGTGTGGAGGTGTGTGGAGGTATGGAGGCATGGAGGTGTGGAGATGTGGAGGTATGGAGGTATGGAGGTATGGAGGTGTGGATGTGTGTGGAGGTATGGAGGCATGGAGGTGTGGAGGTATGGGGGTGTGGAGGTGTGGAGGTGTGGAGGTATGGAGGTGTGGAGGTGTGGAGGTATGGAGGTGTGGAGGTGTGTGGAGGTATGGAGGTATGGAGGTGTGGAGGTATGGACGTGTGGAATAAGGGGGGTGTGAAGATATGGAGGTGTGGAGGTATGGAGGTATGGAGGTATCGAGGTATGGAGGTGTGGAGGTGTGTGGAGGTATGGAGGCATGGAGGTGTGGAGATGTGGAGGTATGGAGGTATGGAGGTGTGGATGTGTGTGGAGGTATGGAGGCATGGAGGTGTGGAGGTATGGACGTGTGGAGGTATGGGGGTGTGGAGGTGTGGAGGTGTGGAGGTATGGAGGTGTGGAGGTGTGTGGAGGTATGGAGGTATGGAGGTGTGGAGGTATGGACGTGTGGAGGTATGGGAGTGTGGAGGTGTGGTGGTGCGGAGGTATGGAGGTGTGGAGGTGTGTGGAGGTATGGAGGTATGGAGGTATGGAGGTGTAGAGGTATGCACGTTTGGAATAAGGGGGGTGTGAAGATGTGGAGGTGTGGAGGTATGGAGGTATGAAGGTATGGAGGTGTGTGGAGGTATGGAGGCATGGAGGTGTGGAGGTATGGACGTTTGGAATAAGGGGGGTGTGAAGATATGGAGGTGTGGAGGTATGGACGTGTGGAGGTATGGGAGTGTGGAGGTGTGGTGGTGTGGAGGTATGGAGATGTGGAGGTGTGTGGAGGTATGGAGGTATGGAGGTATGGAGGTGTGGAGGTATGCACGTTTGGAATAAGGGGGGTGTGAAGATATGGAGGTGTTGAGGTATGGAGGTATGAAGGTGTGGAGGTGTGTGGAGGTATGGAGGAATGGAGGTATGGTGGTGTGGAGGTGTGTGGAGGTATGGAGGCATGTAGGTGTGGAGATGTGGAGGTATGGAGGTATGGTGGTGTGGAGGTGTGTGGAGGTATGGAGGCATGGAGGTGTGGAGGTATGGACGTGTGGAGGTATGGGAGTGTGGAGGTGTGGTGGTGCGGAGGTATGGAGGTGTGGAGGTGTGTGGAGGTATGGGGGTATGGAGGTGTGGAGGTATGCACGTTTGGAATAAGGGGGGTGTGAAGATATGGAGGTGTGGAGGTATGAAGGTGTGGAGGTGTGGAGGTATGGAGGAATGGAGGTGTGGAGATGTGGAGGTATGGAGGTATGGAGGTGTTGAGGTGTGTGCAGGTATGGAGGCATGGAGGTGTGGAGGTATGGACGTGTGGAGGTATGGGGGTGTGGAGGTGTGGAGGTGTGGAGGT